TTTTTGCCTTTTTCTGGGAATATTCATTGATCTGCTTTTCCTTATATCTGAATCTTTAATCTGCATTATTTTATCTGATGAGGGTGGTAGGAATATATCATTCTCATTGATAAAACGTGCACACATTCCTACTGTTTATTCTAAATAGTGACCGATATCTATCTTCATATTAAACTCTTTTGCAATTTCTGAAAACTTCATGTAATCACCTTTTCTTGTCAATTTTGAACCATCTTTTTTATAACGAAGATTGTTATTCACTATGATATAGCTAAAGTGTTTCACAGAGTCAGGGATCTTTATATTTTTTCTCTGCTTGCCTCTTTTTTTAGCAGAACTAATCATCTTCTCAAGTTGTAGCTTTTCTTTTCTAATATGGCAAGATGTGCTTTAAGCTACACTCTTGTATTAAATAAATTCTCTAATACAATAGGAAATAAGTCCTTCTTTCAAATTAATTATCATGTCTTACACTCTAAGCTTAAATGGTGCGGTTATTGAATAGAAACTCAATCTTATGTAAAATGTTTCCACAATATCGACCTCTCCATGTATTAGTATTATTTTATCTGGAGAGAGATTGTAAGCCATGATGAGATTAGGATATAATGAGGCAAAATCCAATCCTGTTATAAGTCTTTTTGTTTTAATCCCCTTTTTAGGTGAAAAAATGTATGCGCTAGGATATTTTCCTTTTTCTATATTTTCGCATACTCTTGAGCTAAATGCCATAGTTCATTTAAAAGCATAAACGTCCAGAAGGTTTTGTATCTTTATTCTATTTGCACAATAGTGTGAGTCAAACAAAGATACATGTGCTATGGAAGTGACTTCTCTGTAATCATTTATTTGTTTTAACTTTACCAAAAACTCCTGGCAATGTAATGCATCTATAATATAATAATTAGCTACTTCTCACATTTTTCTTGCAGTTAAAGGAGAAGTGTCTTTTTTTGCCTCTGAATAGATTCTTCACATTTTATTGTATAGCATGTCAGCTTTAGTGTCAAGGTCACACTTTTTTAAGAAGAATTTAAGTGACCCTTCCTTTTTGACTTCAGAACGGGAATAACATTTTTTGAGATACACTCAAACGTCAATTAGTACACAATCTGACAGTTTAAGAAAACTGGAAAAAAATCCTCTTCTGCAATAATTTTGATCTTAATTGCTTTAATATATTCTTTCTTTTCCTCGACCTTCTCACATGATCCTTATATAGTTTCCATTTTGTCTGTATCCTTCTTCTTTCCTTTCATCTTAAAATTATTTTCAGATTTCTCTACTATATTTTCACAGTATTTCCACTTTAGGATTTCTTCCTTTATTTCAAACTTTCCTGACATTCACTCCCATATCCATTCGAGTGTGTTGAGATGATATGCTCTCTTCATAATAAAATGCCAATTATAGTCTGAATTATTAAACCCAACTAGGATGTCAGTGGCAAATGCTCGCTAGCAGAGAGTGAAAACTTTTAGCAGATTTACTTGATTTTCGCAAATGATTGTAATCCAGCGTGGATCTGGTTCTATTTCAACATCAATAAGATATATTTGCTTTAGTGCTTTTAGATCATCTTTCCAATACAGTGTCATACCAATCATAAAAATATTATGATTCAGATCAAGGACTTTGGCAAATTTACCTAACTCTTGTGATCGATCTCGTAAGAGAGCTGAAATAGAAATTGTTGTAAAATCTTTTAGCAGATGCAGAGGCACTTTTTACTATAGTTTTCTTAGTAAAAAAAAGCATTTCTAAAGCCGCAGTGACCCTTTTTACTATAGTTTTCTTAGTAAAAAGGTATTTCTGAAGCTGCAGAAGCACTTTTTGCTATATTTTTCTTAGTAAAATAGGTATTTCCAAAGCTGTGAAGGCGCTTTTTACTATGGTTTTCTTAGTAAGAGACGCTCCTAGAGCTTTGGAAATAACTTTACTATTGATTCAAATCAAATTAAATATTTGAATACTTGATTTGAATTTGATCGAATCAAATCAAAATTAATTTGGATTTGATCAAATAAATCATTCTTTGATTTGAATTTGATTGAATCAAATATTTAAATATCAAATTGAATTGCAGAATCCTACTAGAAGCTATACCGGTACTTTCAAAGGTGAATATTTATGGGTGATTATAACTTGGCTTTGAAGTTTTCAGATCATCGTACTCTAAAAGGCATATCTGATTATCTAAAATTCTATCTTAATTTACAAATGTAAATACTAAAGAAATTTATTTTGGAATTGTTCAATATTATTTTGAGCATACTATGCATTTATAAGGTAATATCTTCTGGCAGAGGATCATAAAACTAGATTTCACTGCAAAATCGATGGCAATGACAATTCTTGCAATATTGAACTATAAAAGAAAAAATTTTACGACCTTAATAGAGATTATATAATTCCAGTGCATAGTATATTAAGTCAATTTATTGAAGGTTCTTTTATAATAGGCAAAAGGAAATACATGTCAGTGATACCAATTAATAAAAGATTCATATTTAATATGTCATACTGCGTCATGCAATATTTATTAAAAACAGAAAAAAATAAATATGTTGGTTTAAATAAATATTACAATTTAATTATTTGTTTATTATATTAATTATAAAGAACAATTCATACGAATTTTTCTTCGAAATTAAAATTTCAGTTATTTAAATACATTATTGATATTTTGCTAATACCTCTTAATAGATTATTGCAAAATCGTTAATATATTATATAACTATCAGAATACTGAAAGATATATAATTTATTGTATATTATTCTCCAGTATGTCTTTAAAATAGTCAGTCTTTTATAATGTAAAAGCCATAGGTTTATCGGGATTCTGATTATTAACTAATAAAAAAAATACCAGTCAGTTAAGAATCAGAACTGATTTGATTCTGATTCTTATCTGGCTGGTACTATTCTGATTCTTCATTATTCGTGTGATATATTATAACAATTTGTTCTAGCTACAGTAACACCTCCATAAGTGCATCCTCTATAAGTGCACACCCCTCTATATGCATACCATAACTCAGTCCTAAACTTGGGACTTAGAGCTAAGTGCACCCCTCTATGTTCTGCATGTGCAAGCAATTCCAAGTCCCAGTTATATTAGAACACCTTCTATAAATGCATTCACATGACAATTTACATAATATTGACCAATCATTGATAACTGTTTGGTCACGTTTATTTTAAAATAGGATAAATTAATAATTAATAATTTTAATTTAAATAAATTTGTATATGATGTTTATTAAAATAAAATCATAAATCTTTTTATACAGTATTTACAAGTATAAGACCATTTTTTATTTTCGCTTGATCGATTATCTCAAATTAGTATAGCTGAAGAATATTTTGTATAAATAGCGCATGTCAATATATAAACAAACCTCTGTAGAATAAAATCTAGAGTGTTGGATTATGTCATATATCTAAATTAAGAAAAGAACAATGATGATTTATCATTATTTAATAATATTGAAATCATCCATAAATCTCTAAAAATGTCTCTCAAGAGAACCACTTTTTCTGAAATCCAAAAGAGAGAACTTTGTATTTATGCTCGAGATAATAAAGGACCTGGGCTCAATATGTTAACTGGATTGAAGATAAATGGAGCGTTAAAGTTAATGAGAGCACTATTACTCGTATCCTACAAACAGCAGAAGAACAGCTTAGTTTAGAAACTATTAATACAAATTCAAAATGCCATAAATCAGTTACTTATCCAGAACTTGAGCTTACTCTCAAGGAATTTGTTTTAAACTACCAGCATCAAACAGTTTTAAGCGAAGTGATACTTATTGAAAAAGCTAAAATGATTGGTGATGGATTAGATATTCCTCAAGATACATTACAATTTTCCTCAGGATGGATCCATAAGTTTAAGTACCACAATGGAATTTGCTAATAAAAGCTTGGAGGAGAAGCTTCATCTGCTGATAAAGCTGCTATTGCCAATGCTTTACCCTTATTAAGAGAACGTTGTCCCAATTATCCTCTCGAAAGGATTTATAATATGAACGAAACAGGACTTTTTTATAGGTAAATCCTTAAAACAAAAAAAAATCATACACGAAAATTTACTTATCTTGTATGAGTATTGATTATTTATAGGTTAGAATCTGATCGAATACTCGCAACCAAACGTTTTACTAGGCGTAAAGTGAACAAAGAATGCCTTTCAGTTGCATTGTGTGCAAATTCTGATGGCTCACACAATTGAAACCTTTAATTATTGGAAAATTTGAAAAACCACGTTGCTTTAAAAATATAAGAATTCAAACCATGGCAATTACATACCGTAATAATGCTAAAGCCTGGATGATCACGTCGCTCTTCTAAGAGTGGCTTCAGGAATTCGATCATCAAGTTGGTATAAACATAGAAGTCAGCGCGTATTACTTCTTCTTGATGATTATTCTAGCCATAAGCTAGCTGGCCTTACCTTACAATATACTGATGTCCATTTTTTGCCTCCAAATACGACTTCAAAAATTCAGCCGATGGACGTTGGAATAATTATGTCCTTTAAAAGACACTATCACCATTCTTATGTACGGTAAGTAAAATTATTAGATTTGCCATTAATTTAGTATTCAAATCTAACTATTCATTTTTTAAAAGTTTGATGCTGCAATATGTAGAGGCAGATAATTGTGCGGAGGATTTACGTATCGATGTCTTACAGGCAATTCATTTTATCATCCAAGCCTGGAATGAAGTTAATGCTGAAATAATTAGTAATTGCTGGCATTAACCAAAAATTCTTCCCGATGCAAATATAGATTTTAGAAATGTTTCAGAGGATATTTGCCAAAATGAAAACTTGGTACTTCGTGATCTCGCAGATTCACTTCAAGCTCTTAATCTCCCCTATCCAATGCAGGCAGAAGAGTTTCTTAATATACCAGAAGAGGATGTTATTTACGAAGTTCCCAAAGATGATCAAGCTATTGAAGAACTCATATATCTCTTTAAGAATACTGATAAGGAGAATATGGATTTAGATGAAATGGATGATAGCGATGAAATTCCCGTTATTAGTCCTAGTGTTGCAATTTCTAGCTTAGAAACTGTACATATATTTTTACTTCAACAGGATAACGCAGAAGAATACGTAAAGTTAGTAGGAATGATCGAAAAATTTTTTAGGATTAAAAAGACAAGCTTAATGCGACAAACTGACATTAACACATATTTCCATTAAAAAGTAATTCTATTTTCACAAAATATGTTGCTTTAGTGTATTGAAAAATAAATTGAGTTTATTGAGATTAAATAAATATATGGAATTTAAAAATATATAAAATTAGCTTAAATACATGAAGTTTAAACAAATGCTGTTTAAATAAATGCTGTTTAAATAAAG